GCCAATCCAAAGAGCTTCTGTTTTTTTGTAATTGATTCCGCGTAAACCAGAGATAGTTGCGAAAGAATCTAACAGACTAAAAGACTGGCGAACTGAGTTGTCTGAGCCATCTAGGATCAAGGTTATATCATCTGCGTATTGACTTAGTTTACATTCTGTGCCTGAAACACAAATGCCCTTGATTTGATCATGGTTTCTTATGGCATTTCCCAGCGCGATTTCAACCCACCTTGTCAGACACCTCTAGTAAGATTGAAAAAGGCGGAAGACCAACCGTTATTTTGAATGCAGCTGCTTATATCATTATGAAATAATTTGACCCAAGTAATCAAGGAGTCACTAATAAAAGTTATACTAGCGGAGAGTTTTTACAATAAAATTTCATTCCAAAGTATCGAAGGCTCTCTCGAAATCTATACAAAGTAAAATGCCAGGGGTGTTCTGGCTTTCAGCGTAAGTTATGTATTATACTGTCTATTAATCTAACATTTTCTCCAATTGATCTACCTTTGAGAAAGCCCGTTTGATCATTGTTTATAAAATCAGGTAACACTTTTTTGATTCTTGCTGCAATTGCTTTTGTGGCAATCTTGTAGTCGCAGTTTAAAAGGCTTATAGGTCTCCAGTTTTTTCGATGCTGTAGCCGTTTGTCTTTCTTTGGTATCAGTGTTATCAACCCCCTGCGCTGTGAGATGGAAAGGTGCCCTTGGGTAAAAGACGAGTGTAAAGCAGCGAGTAAAAAGGGAGACAGGTCGTCCCAAAAAACTTTATAAAATTCTGCTGGTCCGTCCCAGGCGATTTACCCGATTCCATTGTTTTTAGGCTCTCTAAGCATTCCGTTACCGCTGACAGTAGGCCTTCGCAAGATTCTTTTGATTATTCAGATTATTACCTAGCTTTGTTTCAGTAACCTCAGGGAAAAAAACATTATCATAATCATTGACATCAACGCTTGTAGTCGTGTAAAGATGCTCATAGTAATTTTTTGCTTCGTCTAGAATCTCTACGTCCGTCGAAAACTTCTTCCCATTTGCGCTTCGGAGGTACCTAATGGTTTTACTATTAAAGTGCTACTTCTCCAGATTATGGAAATGTTTTGTATTCTTTTCTATTTCATTATACCATTTCACTTTTGATCTAAGAATAGCCCCTTGAGTTTTATAGGCGATTATTTCTTCTATTTGCTGTTGTCTTTCACTTTTAATTATCTGATACATTACGTTCGTCAAGCTTATTCTGGAGTGATAAAACTTCTTCTTGTAACCGATTTTCTCTATTTTCCAGACGCCGTTTCCTGTTTGCGGCATCATTTAAAGAGGCTTCTCTAATGTTCATTTTGATGACGTCCCATAATAAAATCTCGTTAACTTCACTCTGGCCTTCATATTCCTTACACACATCAGCGATAGTTTTTCGTATCAACTCAACCTCTTGCAAAAAGTAAATAGAGAACTTTTTTTTTTTAAGCTTAAAAACGTTTCTCTCCGTTTAGTATTGTTTGACAAACCTCTGACGATTAGGGAGCAAATTACCATATCATCAGGTTGCATGGTGAAAAGGTGAGAAAGGAAATCCTTTGTTGAGAGTGTCAGGAGAGCAGCTATGTAATTTCGCATCGTAACTACTAGGCCTAGATATTTGCAAATTGTACAAGGTACATGAAAAGGACGGATAATTAATAACGCACAGAAGAACATAAACACAGATACAGACACATATGACGGTAATAAATCCTTTTAAACTCCCTCACATCGTTATATTTTTAAAAGTTGAAAAAAAAAACATTAAATAAGTGGAAAAGTAGTTGCAAATGTTGCAAATAGATTATTTGGCATTCGCAGAGAAAAACTTATTATTGAAAAGAATATCACTCTATTGGTTCAACAGGGGCAATGTACTTTCCGTTGATATAAAGTTTGTCGGGCTGAGCTTTACTGAAGTAGGCGGTAAAGCTTTTTTCCCTGGCCTTCTGCAACTTCTTCACTTCTCCTTTCCTCGAGTCGTACAGCAATTTTGGGATGTCCTTCCATGTCCTTCAGATGTTTCCGGGCCTGATCCATAACTAGTTCCTTATCCCCATAACGTAAAAATCGTGCAATAATCGGACGCGAGCTTCCATTTTTCTCATTTTTTAAGCGGTAAAGTCTTTGGAATTCAATTCTTTCTCGCGCATTTGTAATCTTTAGTTGATGTTCGAGTAATTTATAGATAATCCCTCTTGTATCTTCTATTTGTGCTTACGCGCCGTTGTGATCTTCGTCACCACCATTCATGTTGTCAACTTGCTCTTCTAGTAGCCCCACAAATTTTACATTTTCCCTCCTTGAGTAAGTATCCATGTAAAGAAGTTGTTTCTGGAGCTCGCCAACATCCTGTTGTAACTTTTGGTTTTTAAGTTTTAAGTCGGATATGTCCTCCTCATTAAATTGGATGCTTTCTCTCAATTCATTGACTGTTGAGCCAAGCTGTTTGGACTTTGTTTTGAGATCTTCGACTTCCGAATCCAGCCTGCTTACATTTTCTTCAGTACTTGCTAGTGTTGTGTGCATCTGGCTCAAGCGGCTTTCAATAGTATCATTCTTTTCTAATTTTTTAAGTACAGCTTCAAGCTTCGACCCTACACCTTCCGCCTTTTCTAAAGCTCGTCTTTTGATTTTTTTTTTATCTGGAGATGGCAAAGAAACTTTGGAAGTTTTTGACCGGTTTTTGCGTTTGCCCGGCATTAAAAAAACTATAAATTTTCCGTAACGATTCAGGGAGCTCGGCGAAACACGTTTATTTTCCCATGTTACCAGTCCCAGTCCCCCCGAGATTGAATTCTTGTAGTACTTCTCCCCAGTCTTGGTGCTCCCTTACCAGTTATTTTTTTAACCAGTTCAATAGCCAATGGTATCCCTAAACTGACTAAAATAGTCCCAAAGCCGTTGCCTTGCTGTGTTTTGGTTGGTCCTATATGAACACCTGAACCTGTTTGAAGAGCATTAACAATATCCTGTTTCTGTTTTGCGGATAGATGTTTATATGCAATCAACTGATTGATTTACTCTGCGGGATTAAAAAGCCTCCTACTTGCCCTCCAGAGATCTTTTTTCATGCTGATGCTAAAGTTCTTTCAGCGCTCATAATATCAGAAGCTATATTGCCTCCAGATATCTTTTTAACTAATTGACTGGCACCTTCTGATGCCAAACTAGCAAGAGCGGACAAACGAAATGTTTTACCAAGAGTTGGTGCAAGATTTCTTCCCATCTATAAGATGGATGTTAATAAACTACCTCCTACTTGCTTTCGTATATGTAGTCTTCGCTAATTTGATATCCATGCCTTTGTTTAAGCAACGGTTCTTGTTTAAGCTGTTTACAATATTTGATGGAACATACATGAGGACACTAGCATCGTAAAAATAAAGATCTCTAAAGTTTACCAAGCTGTCATTCCGCGTACTATGTCCATGAAAACACTCAGAAGTCTCGACATAGAGTCGCCCATTATAATTACGTATTCAAAAACCATTCCGTCTGCATAACTCGATTGATGTCAAAATAGTTTAAAATTGCTCTCCACAATTCTTCCTATTGGATGGACTAAAGCGCTGGGAACAGCGACATTCGTCAACTTAGGGTTGTTTTACCTTAAAAAAGTGGACAATTATGTGTCCGCATTATCGAGGTTGACTTTATATTAGAATCTGTTCATTGGGCAAGTAAAGAGTTTCTCATTAACGGGTGTCCATATTAAGCGGGGTTCGACTGTATGATCGACGCAAAATCGCACTTCCCTTGCAATCCTCGCGCGATCCGCTGCACGCGCGACAAAATTATCAACTCGCTTTGGCGAGGAATAAATGGTACCCCTCTCACATACCTATTTTAGAACTTTGTATCCGTTTTAACTGCTGTAAATATACTTCCTTTAAAATGTGAGTAAATCACAAAATCAAAACGTTTTCACAATCATAAAATTAATCTCGGTTGGCCCTTTTTGGGCCTCCTTACAGACTAAATCCCTACTGAGGGGAGGGGGCCTCTGTACACAGGCTACCCTTTGAGCCTGAAGCCTGAAAAAGGGTGTGACCTTACCGTATAGGCCATTATAGAGAGTACCCTCGGCTTTATAGAGTACAACATAACAGTATTCCGGGTAAGTTAAGACAATATACAGGTAACCTGCGATCACGCTTTTTTCTCGTGTCCCAAACAAAAGTAGTCTGCTACACAGCCGTAAGGGAAGAAAGACCGTCCGATCGCAGGTTAGTACACAGGCAAATACGATACAATATGGTGCGATCAAATAACATTTTTCTCCAGCGTCACCGTGTTGAATCCAGTTTATGGCTGCGCACGAGATTAGACGCCACCATATCGCGGGCTCCAGTAAATGTGCAAGCTTCCATCAAAGATGGTACCGTTTTCAGTCACCATTGCGTTTTCGCGCAGGCGAGAAAAAAACGATTAAAGAACGCATCATGTGGACGCGGAGTTCTGTTTGAAAACGGAGGAAAAAAACGTTTTCAAACAAAAGACCGCAAGGCGACGTTTTTACAGACAAAAACAAGGCAATGGCTACTCTTTTGACAAATAATTTTTTACGATGTTTCTGACCGGAGGAAGTAATTAGTGTGGCTGTCACAGAAAAAAAAAATAGAGCCGCCTGAAAACACGGCAAGACATTTCAAATGGAAAGAAGTACAAATTTAGTTGTTTATTTGACGAATGTGAGAAAAAAAGACCCTTTCGTGAAGTCACGTTGTGTAAGCAAAGGCTTGTTTTCATATATTTTCATCAAAACTTGGTAAAGAATCGATGTAGTGTGCCATTTGGTTCGAAATAAAACAATTAGACAACTAGTTCTCGTTTTCTAAGAGTCAAATAGTCAACATAGTGCTCCTTGCCTTGTTGGCTATCGACTCATCGAAAACTCGAACTCGTAGTAAGTGTTTTAAGAAAAGAAGCTATAGTCATGGACTGCGAAAAATAACTTTGCCTTAAAAAGCACGGGCTTTAATCTAGCCAGTCGTCAAATTTCTGACTAATGTTCTTTCTGTGTTGATTCATGACATGGTCCCTGTGTTTTCCTTCAGGAAATCTATTCGGCCTGAAATCTCTTCTGAACGATTCCTTTCCACCGTAGCCTTTAGACGCAAACTGTCCTGGGCCGTATCTCTGGTATACATCTCTGCCTTGACTGTATCTTTCTCCAAAGTGTTGAGAAGATCCCATCTGACCAAACCGTGGTCTTTCATATAGTTCTGGTAATTCTGATATTCTTTCCACAGTGATGTTTCTTCCAGCCTTGCCCTCGGTCCAGCAGTCCTGTTAAATAAACAAAATACAATTTTTTACTAAATGGTCTTGAAAGCAGAAAGAGAGAGAGAGAGAGAGAGTCAAAGGGCCTGTCTACACGTATCAGGATGTTTTTGAAATCGGAGATAAATAAATAAATAAATAAATAAATAAAAAATACGCGTCCATCTGACGCGTAATTGAGTCGTTTTCGCCAGCCGTCCAAATAGAAACGCTTGAAATATCATAGCATCCTCAAAACAGCACGCGTAATGCTAGTTATGTATGATGTATGAACTCATCCACACAAAACCGAAAAGCCAGTGCTTTAAAGGATTTCCACTCTCTTTGATGCCCGAAAACCGCGCTAAAAATAACCTGCGAAAGTGAATTCGCGTTCTTTCAATCTCTATCTCGATTATCCCAGCTAGCTTTAATACTTTGTCAAACTTTGTCAGCTTTTGTCAAATACAAGCAAACCCCTCTGGAGCTGAATTCCTAAGAACCATATCCAAGTTCAGAAAGACAAAGAAAATTTCGTGGTCGCTTGTTTGCGTCCTCCATAAAACGTGAAACACTGGGCATTCTCACGTCGTAGTCGTGCAGTACAAAAAGCTTGCTGCACGTGCTTTGTTGTTTTGCTCGACAAAACTTTTGCTTCTTTGACGCTCTCGGCACCGTGGCCGCCGTACCTTGCATCTTAAACTCCGTTATACGTGCGGTTCGAGGTTGCTACACGGTGGTTATTGCTGAAAAGTTATTCATTTTAACGTCGCAATTTCGTCTTTTTCGGAGCGAAAAACATCTAACAGGGACAGCGAAAGTTATCTCGTTCCGATAATGTGGACGAAGTACTTGAGCGTTTTAACAATCATCTCGACGAGACAAAGTAAGCACTTTCGTCCGCCCTCGTTTCTCAAACTGCGGCGAAACACATAAGTTGGACATTGTTGTCGAAGCAGAAAAACTTTCCTTTTTATTTTCGAGCTTTCTGGAACACTTCACGGAGCCCCTGCTAATTTTCCGGTCGCTAAGTACACCTAAAATGTGGAGGAGAAGCTTGCTGAGCTGAATATGGGTCTAAATTTTCAAACTCGTCATAAGAGAGAAGCAAGCTGGGTCGCTATCAAGGAGTGCCACTGCAGTGGGTTCAGAGGATGACAAAAGAATTCTTTGAACGAAACAAAGAGCATTGAAAACGAAGAAACAGAATGCCCCCGGTCAGGACGCTTTTTTGAGGTATTGTTGTTGTATTTTCTTTGTATTTTAACCCATAAGGCACGTGTTTACACTCTGCCTGTCCAAACATGGTGGCAGTATATATTATGCTTCACCGTTCCTGGAGAATTACAATGATTTCTCTCCATAGTAGCGACGTGAGGAAGAAAGAAAACGTTTAACTACCTTGACAAACCAATTTCTTCACTTTGAACAGTTACATAAACAAACAAACAAATTAACAATAAGCATAAAACTGTTTTATAAGTATAACTGTGTTATTAACTAACCTCGAATGCTTTTTCATGATGACTTGGCACATCCAATACCACACTCTGTTTAAAAAAAAAAAAAAAAAATGAGTGATTGGATGAATAAATTGTGAACTGACAAACAAACAAAAACTAAATAAATATGCTACTATAAAACAATTTATTTAACAATTAACCCTCCACTCAACCCCCTCCAGTTTAGGGGGTGGGGGTGGGGATCTCTCTTCTCCAAAGAGGTTCCCGCTGAGTATTCCAATGAAAAATACCCAACGTGGCCCGGGTTCTAATCCTTGATGCCATAATGTGGGTTAAGTTTGTTGTTGGTTCTCTCCTTTGCTCCGAGAGGTTTTTCTCCGGGTATTCCGGTTTTCCCTTCTCCTTAAAAACCAACACTTCCAAATTCCTATTCGATCTGAAACGCACGGACACGTTTCAACGAGTTCTCAAGAACTAGTAAGTGTTCCGTGGGTTAACAAATTATAATTAAATTAATTACCAGACAAGTACATCCAAAATTCAAACCTTTCTGTCGCTGCACATTTTCATTTGTTCAATCTCCTCTTTCACGTCGGGAATGTTGTTCTCCAGTACTCGCCACATATAACCCGGTCCACGAATCTCATAATTCGTAGACATCATGTAAGTTGTAAATCCCTGAAAGAATGATCAATGCATTTGTTATTAAATCTCCGGGGAGTCACACAAAAATGTTGGCAGAAACCGCGATTAACCCTCGTTTGTTTGTTACAAGGAGTAGTAAAATAAGTACATGTAATCAAGATTTCAGTGAAATTTAGCTCCATTTAAGTCTCCAAAAATTTCTCTTTCAGTTTTACGAAAAAAAGTGCCCAACCAACGATAAAAAGTTTCACCCGAAGTGACTGGTGTCGATTTTACAGCCAAACCATGAAATTACAGTCACGATTAATCTGTTTTAAGTGCCCAAGAAACACAATAAAATTCTACCAGACCCCGTTTACTTCCTAGAAAACGTGAATAATCCTAGATCACGTGATAACTACCTCTCTTCCATTTAAAAGCGAGCGTGATTTGATTTCCTTTGTTCCAGAAATGTGCGCCAGCGATGCGGCAACAGCATCTACTGCTCCCATCTTTTCAACCAAAGTTTGAGCAGCTTCACGAAACATTTCTAACACCTCGGGTGAAACTGCCTCAACAAACCTACAGTGAGAAAAAAATATGAAGAAAATACCCTGTGCAGCTAGCGGTTTGAATGGCAAAAACTGCAACCGCACACGAACGAGCTGAGAAGCGTTTCAACCCCATCCTCCCCACCGCTTTGCAACTCATTTGCCCGCTAGACAAACAACATCGCCAGATAGGCTGGCTAACAAGGAAATTACTCCATGTGTGGCGAAAGAGACTTTTCACGATTCATACTTATCGGGTAGAGCTTGTTTACTGGTCATTTTGAGGTTACTACAGGTTACTGTAGACTGGGTTGTCGAACTGCACTATGGAACTGTTTTAGGGCCGGATTTTGACCCAGTTCCCCACACAATTTTGCAATAGCCAATGAAAGAAGTGTTTCGCCCCACGGAAGGCAATCCAAGCCAGTATTGGATTCTGGATTCCAGGCACTGGACTCCGGATTCTTTGTCAGTGAAACTTGGATTCCCGATTTCAATCGCTAGTAAGATTCCAGGATTCCTAGAGCTGTACTCCGGATTTCAAAGCCTAGGATTCCCATTCCATAAGCAAGACGGATTTTCCAGATTCCTTATTCCACGGGCAAAAATTTCCTAAATTCCGCAATCCGGATTCCCTATCACGGGGTGCGCGAAGCGATTGCGTCCCCAAACAGTCCCAAAGTGCAATTCGGCACAACACTGACGCAGTCTCACGCGAACCTCACAATGGCCAGGGGCCCGTTTCTCGAAAGTCCCGATAATTAACGGGCCCGGTAAGCTGTCTCCGTTTACATTAAAGACCGAGGTTTCAATAGTTTTGCATCTAACACGATAAAACTGTCAGTTAATGAAACAAAATGGAGTAGTTTCCTAGCCAGGACCCGCGCTCTTATTCTTTATATTTCGATTTGAATATTTGATTTCGGGCCCGTAAAACGGGCCCCAGGTCGGTTTCAACAAGGTCGTTCACTAACCTGTTTGTCCCAATAAATTATGGCAGTCTGTGATAATAACAGAAGATCTTACCTTTGAGCATCTGATGCCGAAGCTTTGACAATGTCAGCTGGTTGTGGTGGTGGGATGTATTTGAACGAGATCCCCTAAGAACAAAATTATAGGGGAAAAAATTATTTGACAACCAGTACGTTACCATATCGGTTCACTCATTCCACCCATTCTCAAGATTCAAACTTCTACGTGTGCAATAATCGGTCTAATTTAACAAACCATCATGAGTGGACGATAAAGTGAGGTTACGTTTTGGTCACAACTCTGAATTTTCATGCTGCTTGCTTACGCTAACCGCTAAAGCAAAGGAAGCGGACAACAGCAACAAAAGAGTTTGAAAGGACGCGAATTCGGTTTTTCATTGACGTTTTTACTGGCGTCACCGTTGTCGTATCGCAAGGTCTGTACCAGCGTAATGATATACGACGGATGTTTATCAAAAGCGGAAACGACAAGTGAAAGGAAAAGAAATATTTCACTCCTTACGTTTCCGCAAGATTTCGTTTATGCCTTCTCCTTATCTTGGGATTACACTAAAAAAACGTTTCCTCTGTTGCCGCTTTGATCTAAACAAGGCCTAATACTACTTCATAACCATCAATAATGAAATTTTGACTCCCCTCTTTCTTTTGAACTTGACTACAACAACAAATTAAGAACAGATTGGGATAGAATCACATAGTATACATACAGCTCTTTTTCCAACGGCACGAAGCTGAGCTTCTTGGTTAGGTTTGTAAAACACGATGCTGATTCCGCTGCGGCCGGCCCTTCCTGTTCTACCAGAACGATGAATGTAAGTATCAAGATCCTGCCAAAAGAATTGAATTCAATACACATACACTGTATGTAAACTAAACATGGCTAGTTTTACCACAGTCGACAATCGCTTTGCGACCACTATCGTAAACAACCAGCCCTCCTTAAGACCAACATTGTGAGACCCCGTTTTAAATATATTTGTTCCGTGACTTTTTTAACGCTATGATGAAAAGCTTTCGTAAGCGACCGCTCCGGTAAGCTACCGACTACTTTTGTGAATCACCGCGGCTATTTTTTTTCGTTTGTTTTTAAGTTCTTGTAAGCTATTGCTCAGTCAGCACATAGCCTGTCTTTGAATTGAATACCCCGGACGGTGCCAGCCCTGGTAAAAACAAAAAAAAAAACAAAAACAAACAAAACAAAACAAATAAAAAGTGCACAAAATTGTTTTCGTTCTGTTTATGGTCATCTAATTGTAATTGCTTTTGAAATGCTCGCTGATACAAAAAGCTCTCCGGTAGAGTATGAACACTTATCCGATATGTGTCCCTATACTTTAGAGATCGGCGCGGCGCAGCGCAGCTTCACTCCGTCACAGAAATCGCGCAGAAATCACCGTTCTTATATGTGAACAGAAGCTCTATCCGGTATGGTTTTCGTTCCGGCGCGAAAGCTACTCAGTATACTATGAACATAGCCTTACATGACAACTGCATTACCTTCGGTGGTTCACTCTGTACAACAAGATCTACTTCTGGAATATCGAGTCCTCTTGCTGCGACATCTGTGGCTACTAAACAACGAACTTTTCCATCACGAAAACTCTGCCGAGTCAACAAAATATGACAGACGATCAACTTTGTTTCATACGAGAGCCTATTAAGTTTACCCCTAGACTCCAGTTTAGTTTTGCAATTACTTTCTGTTGAACTTTTTACCTCTTGACACGATTTCCGCCGCTCTCTAGGGTCCAATCTTGTTCTTCCCAGAGAAGAGAGGAGAATTGCAGTCGTTTCGCCCGACGGCGTTCGCCAGGATATTAGTCAATTCGCCCGATGAGATGCAACACTCTACAACATTGTGAACATACCTTTTGATATGTTATTTCAGTTACCCTTGGACTCCACAAGCGCAGTCACTGACTTTCCATTCTTCTTCCCTTTTTTCGGGCTTAAAAAACGACAAATACACTTTGGGCAAATCGACTTAGTCATCGGGCGAACCGACCTTCGGGCGAAACAACCTGATACCATCGAGTCTAGTCCCTCCCCTTTTACTTTGTTAAACCACCGAGGAGAAGGGATTTTTCAAGTGTTACTCGGTTACGTGTGTAACACTCACTGAGCTGCTAGTTGGCCACTGGACAAAGTCTGATTAAAATTTGCCAATGTTCAGTGGTCCTTCATAGCCTCATGGGCTGTTGAGTCAGAGATCCACTCGGGCTCAAGGAATAATTGTTAGACATATAATTATTTGCTGGCGGAAACTCACTTTTAGAGTTATTTCCCTTTGCTCCTGTGGTATATCTCCATGGAGAACTTGTACATCCTAGAAAGAAACAAGAATAAACTCAAGGAATCATTTGATATATTGAGACAGGGAAGGAAGAACACATTAAAAAAGTTTCCCCGACCCATCAGCCTGTCATGTGCACTTGGCTCTTGCAGCAGCGAGCTACTGCAGGTGTAACTTGCTTTTCTTCTCAACTGATCACATGTTGGAGGATTTATGCACAAAAGTCCTTTTTAGGGGCTTTAGGGGTTTAGACCAAGTCCCTACTCTGAGGGTCAACGTCACTTTTTCTCATCTTAGACTGTTTCTTCTGTTGCAATGACCACTTGTATTTTAAAATCATGAAGCTTCCAAGTTTTTTAACACTATTAAAAATTAATAGTGTTACGTAGAAAACCAACCTGTTTTAAAATAGAATTTAAGGCCAAATTGTTGGCATCATTCTTTGTCTCCGTGAAAATAAGAGTTCTACTATGGGCACCACAGTAAACCTACCAAAAAATTAATAAATATAACAGAATACAGTTTAGTTTTACAAATTCAACATTGTAAAAGGAAAGGACACGCATACACTACATGACTACATTAATAGCAACCTGGGATACATGTAAAAATTTAATTTCAAAACAAAATGTGGATCTAGATTTGCTATTATACAAATTTGCTTTCTAACTTGGCACTATGTACTTTAACATGCTATAAATCAAACATTTCACAATAAAAATCGGAGTCACCAAACTTGTTTTTGAGTGATAAATTGCATTCAAACAAAAAATTAAGGGTGTTGATCACAGATTGTACTGTTGCTATGGCAAAATGTTATGCAATAATCATCATTACAACATCAACTACAAAAATTGGTTGTATGGTTGTATGTAGGAATTCTACATGCAGAAAACTTTTGTAAGCTACACTTAGGATTTTTCAATGCACCCCTTAAATCGTCTGGTATAAAACAACACAGCACTTGGACAAACCTGCACAATGTCACTTATTGTAGAGGCTCTGGCCTCATATGGACACTTGATGGCAAGATGCTATGAAGGAACAAACAAGATGATTAAAATACCAAACTGACCCTGATTGTTCAAATGATGGACAGTGCTATTCAGTAGACAAATCACTACCCAGCAGATAAGGATTAGAGATTTATACCGTGGAGTGTGTTAACCAACTTCGAACAACTCTCCTCAGATAGAAAGGACTTCTCATAACTTCCAATAAGCTCAAGTCTTTCAGAAATAGGTAACTACAGTTGAGCCCCTGTGAATGGTTTTAAGTGACTATGACCATTTTTGTGGTGATAATTTGATATTTTCTTTAAACCTGCCACACGAGAGGTCAGTTTCTTACTATAAAAATAAGATGCTTTCTGGAAAAAACATTGCGGTGAAATCACTTCTGATGAGGAGAGGCAATGAGCATTTTTTATTTTTTATTAATATGACTTTGTATGTCTGGTATCCAATGGTAGCTATACCCCCACAGAGCTGAAAATTGAAACAAATTCTCTTCATATAAAATAAGAGATGACCTGTTCAAGAAATAAACCTCTATTAGAAGTCCAAGTCTCAAAGACAGAACACCTCCCATGATCTACACCCAATTCTGTTAAAAAGAATAGAAGTTAAGTTTTAAATTGAATCTTAGCATAATTATATAGCACATGTAAATTGTCTCACTTCAATTGTCTCGGAAGCTTTAAGTTCCTGGTCTCCGATAAGATCCACTATTTTTCTGTCTTCACTCATGTATTTCTTTGCTGTTCTAAGAACCCAAGGAGGCAATGTAGCACTGAAGAGGAGAGTCTGAGGCTTGCTTTCCTTTGCTAATGAATTGATCGTACATTGTGCATTAAGGCAATAATCTTACAATGATTTTTACCACAGCAAAACATGACTGTATGCAATTAATATTGGGTAAATCATCACTTATACTTTTTAAAACTTAGATAGACATCCTCTTGTAGTCTATCCTGAGAATGGAGATGTACTACCATTCATTGCTTCTTTCCAGTCAAAAAGTTACTTTTCACCACTTCAAGGGGTTATCAATGTAGGGTGGCCACATGTTTTGCTCTGGAAGTATAGTTTCTATTTTAATGGTTGTGTGTTGGTTAAGTTTTTAAGCTCCAGTTTTTTTAAGAGGTACTATAAATCCAAGGATATTCAATCTTTTTCTTGTAACTGTAGACTCCTTCACCTTTCCTCATTTTAAACTTTGGTTTTGGTTCCTTAAATTAATAATATTGTTAAAGTTTTGGCCAAGATTACTTACATCCATTGCGGTATGATTCTTCAATGATATCCTCTACAGACTGAGCAAAACCCATGTCTAACATCCTGTCAACTTCATCAATAACGACATGTCTGTAAAAATAGTCAACAGCGCATCAGGTGAAAGTTTTACCTGCTAGCCACCCCCCCTCCCCCCAAGCCACTCCCCTCCCCCCAAGCCACTCCCCTCCCCAGTGTTAACTTATGAGAGGGACCCTTGGGAAACTCTAGGGTTTGACCCAGAACAGCTCATCTGGGTACAACACGCACATGTTTTTTGAACACAAGCTGACTAAAACACCAGCTAGATTTGTTGCCTTTAGGCAGGAATTAAATTAAATGTTACCCAAAGAAGTAGAAAACATGTAATTCCAGACTAGCCAGACCCAGGCTAAGTAAACTAAGATGTCACCTCAGCTGATCTAAGCTCTGATTACTAGACATCTCTTGCAATACATGTGGTCTAATATAAAGTAGTCCATGGTCTCTGGTTAACAAGAGCTTTTTTATTTGGAGTAAAACAGAGCAAAAGGATAAAAATATTTTATAATTCCAGCAGGCCTGACAAAAACTCCAATTTTTAGCTTCCCAGTATTATCTTAATATTACAATGCTTGGAATCTTAGTCTGGCAGGAATGGTGGAAATAGTGTTTTTGTTTTAAAAATATTTTATTCTGTGGTCTTACTTTAGCTGTGTCAAGTCCAGAGTACCATTAACCATAAGATCAAGGATTCTTCCAGGAGTTCCAACGATCACATCCAAACCATTTCTTATTGCTTGTGCTGAAAAGATGGTGGAACACAACTTATAAAGCCGTAAGACCAGCATCTACTGGTAATTGTACCTTTACTGTATTTTATTACTTAATCAAATATGAAGTTAATGAGAATATAAGGAATGATCACTACACTATAAGAGATGAAATGACCTTATTTTCACACTAATTCTCCTCATTAGCACCAAGGGAAAACTGCGGGGAGAAGTATGCCGTTGCTACATGTGTGTTTAATAGGGTATAAAGGTTCAAAATTTCAAATGAATACATGTATGTCTGGCATCTTAAATATTACATTGTAAGTTTTAATTTGTAAGGGGAAAAAAACATGTTAGTGTCATGTGCATGTAATTCTACCTTGTGGTCCATATGCGACTCCCCCATACACACAATGTACACTCAGACCTGACTTGAGTAAATCAAATTGATCTCCAACCTAAAGAAGTAAATTTACATACATGTATATGAATCTCAAACATCCATGAAAACATGAATATCATATAGCATACCAGAATGGGATGAAACATTAAATGGACAGAAGTTCAATGTAGTGTTTGATGCAACTTTAATTCAGTTGCAAAAAAAGGCCTTAAAAATTCAGGCTTGTATCAATATTGTTTATTTTACTATATAATATGAGCTAGTGACCTAATTTAATACAAAACGTGATTCAACATGATGTATTTTTCTCTCTTAATGTCCACACCCTCCTTACAATTAAGTTACTCTGTCATTAGCGTTATCAAAGAATCTAAAACAGAAAGGAAGCCTACTTCCCTTTCAAGTAAAATTGCTTTAAAATGCTTCTGAAAAAATGTATAAAAAGAGAGATGATAGAACCCATCTAATGAAAAGGCTGCTTTTATTATACAGTCAAGATGTATGGATATAAAAAAAATTACTAATTAACATCAAAAAGATGTTTTACCTGTTTAGCAAGTTCTCTGGTAGGTGCCAAAACTAGGACCTACAAAACAAGTATAATATTATTGTGCCTATAGTAAAACACTGTTCACAATAACAAGATGTCTCTGAGGCTAACTTCTTGAGAGAATTAACCAGATAGAAATTGGTGCATGCAGGTGGACTCCTGGATGTCACGAGATGGGTGAAATATTCTAAATATTCACAATAATCAATCAATCCATGATTGCTGATGTGCTGATAAATTTGCATATTCCTTGCAAGGAAATATGTAAAGCTGATAAAGCCACAGTATAAGTCTAACAAAAATGCTAAAACAGCTTTTTCACCCAATGGATGAGGATTATCAATCTTGGGCAACACACTGACAAGCTAACCCCCTCCTTCTTCCCCCCCCCCCTAATGTTGCTGTGTTTAAAGCTACTCGCAGACCACTGACAACTGAGGTACAACACTGCATGAGGAATCAAACCACAGGATGTGTAGAGATCCCAACCTCTGGAGATCTAAAATCTGGAGACTCTCTGTTTTGCACTACACCCCCCTCCCCTGCCCCCAAATGACAACAGCCTCACTACCCCCTCCCCCTGCCTACAAATTGACCCAGCCTCCATGGCTTAAGACATATGTGAAGTCTTACATGAAGTCAAAATTTGCCTTCATCATTACAATGATGAAATAATCTTTGCTGGTCCCAGAAACTTACAATGAATAAAAAAAGTTTGAATGTTGAGGAAAAAATGGGCTAAATTTCAAACTAAAGCACAAAAAGTCCATTTTATCCAGGAGATTTGGTGACCTGTATGGGAGAGTGAGAGATCAGTGCCGTAAACGGGAGACTTCCGGATAATCTGGGAGAGTGCCCTTAAGAATTTTTACTTTTTACAGAACTCCTTTAGAGGGTGTGAGAGGAATGTTCTTAGTGATAATCACTGTCTTTTCAGATGAACTGTCTCAGCTAACTTTGATAGCAGCTGTATACATGTAGATCACCTGACATATGAAAAGAATATGTACATTGTGATTCTTTACCTTTGGAGGCCGTCTTGGTTTATTAGACAAATGTTCTAACTTGAGTTTTTCAACTAATGGTAGGGCGAATGAGAGCTGTAAATACCATAAAAACAACACAGTTAACTATAAATCTGATGCTGCAAACTTACAATGCACATTTAAGTTATATTAAGAGTTAAAGTTGATATACTTTGTTGTAACAAGTAAATTGACTCAAATTCTGTTATTAAATTGTTTGGTCTATTTTTATTATTCACATTTTGAAAAGCACAAAAATTAATCTTGGCATACCGTTTTTCCTGTCCCAGTTCCTAAAGTGAAAATAAAATAAAATAAGAAATAAAATAAAGAAATTTAAATTTTAAAAAGTTTTAAAATATGTTACAGCTCAAAATTAAATTCAGGTAAAAATTCTTTTAATCTGGGTTGATTATCAATTTCCTTTGTCTCCCAGCCCTAATTATATATAAATTAGGGCTAGAAATCAATCAATCATAGTAAAGGATAAAAGAAACATTCTTTTTTTTATAGACAATCTGGACAACTGAGCCCTGGTATAAGAACGATGCATGCAGTGCACTTTGATATATTCAAACACCTTAAGAAAAATGAAGGCTAAACATAAACCATCCTAGTCTTACTTGCTTGTCCGATTATATCTTGTCCATCATAGATGTAATCAAAAGTTTCACTTTGAATGGGGAATAAATAGTTTATTTTATTCTCTGCAAAAAAAGACAAAAGAAAATTAATGTTGTTATTATTAGCAGGCTGTCACATTATGGCATCACAGAAAAAAAAAATGTAAACAATATAAAGAAAAAAAAAAGAGAAAGACAAAAAAGAATCATTAACCTCTTAGCCGCTCTATGGTTTCTTCTGATAATCGAAATTTAGAAAAATCTCCTGACTCTTTTACATCCAGGTCATCTTCCTGTGAAAACAGAACAAAAACAGTGACATGCAGTAGTAGAACAACACCTTTTAATCGCAAAAATCAATGGCTTTGTTCTCCAATCTGTTCTCTGGACATTTTTAAATAATAAACACTTAATGACCAGTCCCGAGGGAAACAGTTAATTTTGTTTCCCAAGAATCTCAAATCTCTGGAAATTCATTAAACCTGGCTGTAACGGCAGTCGTCAGTCAACATCCGTGGGTAACAGTGTACTGTTACCCTCTGACGTCACAGATTAAAAAAATAATTGCAATGTTACCATGCTCAAAGATTTTGGCAGGACCAATATTTCTTGGGCAACATGTACATAATAACAATGCGATCACTGAATAAAATTTAAATTCTGTTGAAAAAAACTAAATTATCATAACTTTCTTCCAAAAAAACCTGAAAAAATACATTTTGAGAGAAATTCTCCCTTTCTAACTGGAACTCACAAAACAACAAACTATTGTACATTATTGTNGGACAAGGGCTTATTATAATTTTAATGACAAAAATTGTTGATCAAAAGGAGGGCTGTAATCAACACGTCAGCATTCATCTTTGACAATAAACATAATATTTTTGTAAGCAGGACAAAGAAAGGTGAACTACCATTGATTTCAAATACCGTAAATCCTCTATTAAGCCCCCTGGGGGGCTTATTTTTTTCAAGCACGTTTGAGGGGGGGCTTAATAGAAAGGGGGGGGGGCTTGTTTAATTTAGCGAAATGCATCAACGGCAGCAAGGTTTCTCGACGACGGAATTGTGGTTACCAGACGCTATACTGCTTTTTCTAACAATAAGAAAATGGTAACAATTCTCCACAGAGAACTAGAGCATAAAGTTGAAAAAGTTAAGCACATGAAGTTGGAGGTCATGCAGCCGAAGGCCAAAAACAATATGAATTTCCAGCCTGAATAAACCATAACTGATAAGTACATGTTAATTGTTTGTGACTGAATAAGGATGGAGGGGAGGGGGAGGGGGGAGGCTTAAGAGAGAGGGGGGGGCTTATTAACTTTCCTCCTCTGAAAAGGGGGGGGGGTTATTAGAGAGGGGGGGCTTAATAAAGGATTTACGGAAGTACATTCATGATCAGTATACCTGAGCAGCAGGACTCAAAAGAGATAATGCTCTAGGCAGCTGGTAATTCACAAGGCTTGGAAGCCTATGGAATAAACCAGATTCCTTGCATTAGTTACAGTTTGTATGTGAGCAAACAACAACTTAAGATTCTATTAAAACTTATAAGGGCTGCAATAATATACACCAGTCCAATGCATCAGTGTCAAATGGGTGTAACCCGACCATGATACAAATATCAGTATTTATTCAAACAAGATGATAGTATTACATTTACATCACAAAACCATTATGGACCAGCTGCATGCATAAATAACCCTGAAAGCTAATAAGTCTTAGGAAAGCAAAGCATTCCTAATTCTTGTGTTATTCAAGAACTGCACACAAGATTGCTGACAAACATACACACGCTTGTATTCCAGTCAACAGCATTATATGTCAGTCTTGTGTCCAAAGCAAACACATTTTCACCAGTCTTCACGAAAACATTAATAACGACATATAGTGGCTCTGTATCTATAGCGTGCTGTACAATACAGTGTATGTTGCCTGACAAGATATCAGTGAAACCCTATCCATAATACAATATTTTTTGTGAATCAAGCAAGCATAAATATAAACGATGTATTTATAGCCTGTGTCCTGCCCGAGTACAGCACTAACTCGAAACAAATGAGAATACACCATGTTTTGAAGTATTCCCGCCGGAATTAAGGTACTGTACCACTGCCTGATTACAAGGTCAAGGCCTTGTACTTAGGCACTAAAGTGAGCATGGGGTCCCTGTGTGCACATTTCCTCTTATGGTTTCCTAGGTAATCTTCTGCTTTGTATTCCCATAACTCCTTACTACACTTGTATTTTAATTGGCATCTGTCATGGTGAAATGGAGCAAATATGTACACATTTATGTATCAGGTACTGACTCAAAATGTGGACTCAATCAAATTTTGTTTCAGGACCCCGCAGTACTAGTACATCAAGTTATGCAACAAGTGTGAACAGCCAACCTAAGGTGCTATCTTAACTGTAATTATTATAATGTACCTCTTTGTTAAGTAGTACATGGTTCTTATTTGTTGTCTTGCACTGCTTCTTTGTTTCAGGCCCTTCATTGCCATCAGCAGAGCTATGCTGCCTTTTCTTGCTGTGTTTGACATCCTTGTGTTTTATCGTGAAACCTCTTTCGATTCCCTTAAAATTATCAGGACAGTAAAGAGTTACAACCTTTCATCACACTTCTAAGTAGTACCTAGAATATAGATTTTCACATACATTTTCTGTAATTATTTGACATTATCAAAATTACAGAAAATGTATGGAAAAATAAAATTGAGGTTTTCTAAAAACTGATCACGGACTTCTTTGCCCTCCAGATTTAGTGTGTTAATTCTTTGAACTTCTTTTCAAAGAGAAAGCACCAAATGTATGAATTCAGGAACAATTTGCTGGCTTTGAATTCCAATACAAATCTTTGAATTTCTCGCCATCTTGCCCTGATTACGCATGATTATTATAAGCCTACTGTGTACCACATGTGCTGAATTATGTAAGTGAATCAATCATAAGCCTACTGTATCATACGCAATTTACAGCTTAAGTTGTTGATGTTATTTTAATTGACGTTCCCGTGATTCTTCAGAATGCAAGGTGATTATATTAAAGGCATTTTACATTGTCTATTTCACAGATCAAAAAGATCGGTTAAGTGTCCACATGTCTTTTTCCACGTGCAAATTGCAAAATAAACAATCAGGGTGATGTGCCTTTGACGCGAACTTAGAACTGCAATTCTACCCACGATAAGTACGTTCTGATACTACAGAGGGATTTCGATGATCAGTCTGAACAAACCCAGATCAGAAGAAAAAAGTGACGCAGCATTTTTAAGACGCCGGTTCGCCATCTTTGACAAATTTACAACACGTGCAACGCGCTTGGTTTAACGAAGTCATAGAGGAGGCAGAGGATGTGATCCAATCATCTCCATTCTCAACGCAGGCTTACCTGATTTCTTGACTTTTTCGAAGAGTTTTTACCTTTCTTAATGTTCTTGCGTTTCTTTAATGTACGGTTTTCCATGAAGCTATAAAATCGGCAAGGAAAGATACATGGGCTGTGCAAAGTACGAGCTGCGTAGGGTCTGGACCGAGTCATCCGAAAATGCTGTCGAAAAAATTCGGAAATCTTCGGCTTACATCATAGAAAATATTAAGAGGCCGACAAATTAATTATTGAGGGGAGGGGTGGGTGATTTCTGGTCATAAAGGATTTTTTTTTCTAGCAATCTGGTGGGCAGGATATTTTTTTCCCTTTTTTCTCATAAGCTTTCTATTACATTTGTGCTGCATGCAATTTTTTTCTTCCGTCAAGCGCTTGCAGGAAATCTTTTTTCAAAATCCCCCCCCCCCCCCCCCCCAAGAGTTAAATGGTCGGCCCCTAACCCATCTCCATCCTGTCAATCTGGGATGTATTCCTTGAAATATTTCCTTTACGTATTTATTACCTCTTGTAGATCAAAGATATACTGTTTTTATCCCAGTGAACTGGGTTTTGAAAAGCATCTAGTCGAAAAACGAAGATTACTTCCTACTTAACCACTAATGCAACACTAGTGCCAGTCTTTCTTGTTCGAGTGTCCAAAACATGGAGGATTCATGGGAGCTTGTCACGGTTCCGTCGGAAATTCAGCGCTCAACTGTTGGCAAGCAATCCCCTTCAGATGGCTCTGAGACGTCACTTGAAAAGAACGAAGAAAATAGCAAGTCTAAGGTATGTGAAAAAACTCGAAATGTAGGAAAGCAGTTTTATGAGAGCTATCATCGTTTTGCGATTTACAAATGAACAGGCGATGGATGACCTGATTACTTTTTTAGACAAGTCGATTATTGTCAGCCTAACCATGACTTGACTGCTTCGATCGTGGACTTGTCAGCGATAGTTATTTATTAAATGAGTAAATTATTTATGTTATGCATGAAATGACTAGTATCTTGGTGGAATTAATATATACGTGTTTCATTTTCCACGGATGACCTCTTTGTTTTGAACAGGAAATTCAAGGTAGACAATATTCAAGGGCATTGTTGACCACTGTTTGTAGCTGATGATGTAGTTGATTTACTCAAACAACTATTTGATCTGATCACGATCGTTGATACATGTAACTTGGTTTAGGTTCACTTTTTTCTGAAACCTCAGTATAAGTATAACTGTTGGGCAGCTGCACATATTCATGTCCTTTTCCTGTTTCATGGTTACCAGATACCTTGAGAGGCATCTCGCTCTGTGCAAGTGATGTAACGTGTTGCAGTTAAATTGCAGATACACGCATAAGCCCTATAGACAATCATATCAAAATCTTCTTCAGTTAGCCAGTTTTTGCAGGCGACAAGAGGAGCCTGCAATCCTAATCTCCAGGTTGTTATTACGCATGTGTTGCATGTATGTAGCCAGCATTTGTTTGGTCTTCCACTGAAAATGTATGGAATGCACTGAACGTACTTTTATCATGCGCGTTTGGACCTTCTGTCACTCGTAATCTGATCACGCATGTTTTGACCATCTGTCACGTGAATATTGCACAAAGCACAGCGCTGGAGCAAAAGCATTTTGACCTTTGATGGTTGTCACCCGCACTCCTTAACCTTTGGTTAATACTATTATAAGTTTTAATTTGATGTGGGGTTTAGGCACAGTTTAACCAGAACACGCTATATATCATTTGCATGAGATGCACCCCTGAGGGTATCCGGTAATCTTAAATCAAAATTAGAACACTACCAGTTTCATGTAATGTTTGTTCTACTTTGATAACAGAAAGTTTCCAGTGCAAGTCCAAAACTCTGTGGGTTTTTAAACAAACTTGGAGGTAAGAAAAATTGGCTCAATAATAATATTATAGTATATTGATTTCTTAGCTGTAACAGGTCCATAGGGAGGGGGGTGGGACAGGTGTGCTCACCCCCCCCCCCTTCCCATAGGTCCTAGAGGTCCACTTCTTGTTGATAAATGATTTAAAACAAAGTGAGTTGATAATATTTTTCAATTCTAAGTTACTGATTATAAAGTAAATTTGAAAATACTCTTGAAGAGTTGACCACCCCCGACTCACACTTTTGACAAAACGTGTTTTAGCCTTTGCGTTCAAGTATAAAAAAGGGGATTTGGTACGCCCTCAAGGCATTTAGCCCTTCACTCTAATACATTGGTTACTCCTACAATTTTTCCTTAAGGAGTAAAGTCTATTTTTGAGGTTTTTGTGGCCAACAAGTAGTACTTGTGGCATATAGTAAGAGAGGCTCTCTTCACTGGCTCTTGTTCCATTCACTATAATAACATACATTGATATGAAAGAAGTTGTTGATCTCTTTCTTAGAAGCACTCAAGGAAGCTCTTGAGCTTGGCACACTATTGAATTACAGTTGATGCGATGCAAAGATCCTGCACTGAAAACCTAGTTAATAATGCGGATTTATAGCCTGTGCACAGATGCACCCCAGGTGGGAGGATGTTTGTAGACAGGCTACAGATTTACAACTTTCTTTCTATCATTTTTTTCTTTTTAATTAGTGGCATTGACATTGGCATTCTAAAAAATTGTAAAATAAAGTAGCCGCTCTGAAAAAAAAATTGAATTTTAAACATTGTGAAATACCCATGTTATTCAAAATGGACGATAAATTATGTAGTCTCAGACAACCTAATTCACCTTCCCCTGCTCCCCAAAAACTTGCATCTCTGGCCTTGTTTGGTCCATCTCCTCATTGGATCGCACCTTCCTGTAACAAAACCTTGTTATGGGCCTATGTAAACCATGGTTCATATACTACTACATGAAGGTTAACCCTCTTTGACAGCTGACCATAACATGGATGTCCATAACGATGTCCACTATCAAGTTAAACACTGCTTGTATATGCCCTGGACACCCAGCTAGTAATACCCAGTCATTACAAGAAAACAGCCAATCAGAGCACGCATTTACCATTGTAGCCATATAATGAAACCTTTTTGCCAGCACTCCCTACCTACCCCCATCCCCTTTCCCTCCCTGACCAATTGGCAATTAGGAACTTAAGCAACGACGACAGCAACAGCTGTTGAAACCTGAGTTTTCATGGACGTCAATCAACTGTTTCCATGGTTTTTTCATGCACTCTGACAGAGATGGTTCACTCATCATCGCTGAATGAACTTACAAGAATAATTTCGAATGACGACGGCATTTTTTAATTATTTCATTAAGATGAAGGATTACATTGTTAAAACAACGAGGTCTCTGCGAGATGAGTGAAATAGCCAAAACACACTCTACAGTTTACATAAAGGTTCTCAGGTTGTTTATTTATTTGATTGTATGAAAACACGGGAGCCATGGACCATGAACTGCAATAACCTGAGATCAGGCTCTATTTTCGTTTCGCTTTGAAAATTACATTCCGGCGGGCATGGCGAAACGAAAAGAGAGCCCTCTTCCCGTGAGAGACATAAAGCGATAGTAGGGAGAGGGCATGATCTCAGGCTAGGAAAGAATCTGCTCTGGGCCAACGCGTGAAAAACCATGGTAACGGTTGATTGACGTCCACCAAAGCGCAGGTTTGAACCTGACGAAAAAAACCTTTGAGGGTGCGTGTTAGTGGTAACCACTGTAAGTAAATTACTCATGGCTACACATTTATTATTATTATTAATTTTGTCTTTACCAAGCCAAGGGAATTAAGACTTGGAAAACAAGATGGCAAGTATATCATTATTGGTGTATTAATATAATATGTGAACTATTATGATATTAATTTATTCTAGTTGTCTGTCGATAAAATTTTGTTTTGATTCTTCAATACTACCATTGCTGCCTAAGAACCATCTTTGATTTTATAATATGTTTGTCGCTTTATTATTTTCCTGAAATAAAGAACCCATGTTGTACAGTGGAAAAGCACCCTCCCTTCAAGAAGAGTGCCATGCATCTGCTTGGCCACAATTAACTACTGACCTTCCCCTCTCATCAGTTTCTTGGATTGGGCCTGGGGACAATGCAGTTGGTTGCTTTTTTAAAAAAATGCTTTCAGTTTATTTATTAGCCAGAAAAAAAAAAAAAAAAAAAAAGTTATGCACAGTTATTGCATAAGGGGGAGAATTGGAGATATTTTTCTGACGAGGAAGTTTAAATGAAACTGTGGCGGCTTATTGCATGAGCTCCCTCCCTAACCCAAGACTATAGATATAATAAATAAGTGTTGAAATATATTTAGGATAAAAAGCAAGCAAATTGACAAAACACACTAAACAGAAAAAAGCAGCAAAAAACAAGCGTTATTTACAAGTGGTGAATCTGCTAAGGAGAAATGTTTTCAATCTGGATTTAAAAAGAGAGATTGTGGCAGCACTATTTGTAAAATTTTTGTGATTTAGAGAATTAAAAAAATTGGGACCCTGAAATCTTATGCCAAAAAGTCATATTTGTTCGTGCAGGAGATGAGTAGAAGTGTTTGAATTTCTGGTATTATAGAAATGAAATTGATTTGTCATTAAAAACATTTCTTTGAATACATTTAGGTTGCTTTTGTGCTTGTGTGGCAAGTACGTTGCCAGCTTTCATTTGGACTTCCACCAAGGATGAATTAAGGTGGCTCGACTGGATTTTTTTAGGGGGATACCTCCCAAGTTTGAGCCTTAACTACGTCGGCATGAGTAAAGATATGGAAAAAAGGTTACCACAACTATATTACATAAAGATGAAAATTTCTTATGATCTGGGTTTTATTGCAATCGAAGTCGCCATGGCAACGCAATGACGCCATTTCGTTTTTCATTTATCTTTGTGTTTCTCTGTACCAGGAGTTTTTTGAAGAAATCGCTTAAGGGAGTATGTACCTGCCAAAATTGCCTCCATTATGGCAAAGTTTGAAGAAATTCTATGAGAGCGTTTTCGAGATATTTCGAAATGCAGTTTTAAGAATCATCAAAGCAGTGAAATAGCATGCTAGCCGCACAATTCGCTAATATTTTAAGAAAATGATAAGCTTTGGGAACGCGGCTTCATCTGATAGTGGATTGATTCCATTGAAACTGCATACAAAAAAAGAGGGGAATTACTCTGGGCGATTGCGAGTAAGAAGGGTTTTATTAACTTGCATTCAGATGCTTTTGATACAGTTTTTGGAGGTAATTTGGTCCACCCCTAAAAATTTCGCATTTTTCCAAAAACCGCTCGATAAATTTTTTTATAAATTCGACAATTCCGAGATCAATCGTCAAGAAATATTCTCTGCAAGTTTTAAGAACATTGAAAACGGGGAAGGCTTTTAAATAGGGCCTCAAATATAGCCAATTTTCCCCCCAGATTTTGTGTTTACAAGCGAGTGTCCTCATTATTCACTGGCATTGTTTTCAAGTTTATATACACGTGCACATTTAGCAAAAAGATAGAATTTGCATCAAAAAGGACCCTCGGTTAAAGCTCCGGGATATGCTAATTACCGGGTAAAGAGGTTAGTGATACATTATAACATCAGAGCAATTCTTTGTGAGAGTTTCTGTGATGTTATAACCCGATTAAGATAATTATGTATTGCTTCCTACACGATGAGCCGTGACGTTCACCGTTTCGGCTCTCATTGCTATCTGTGACTACAAGCCAATTATTAGTATATACCGGATATCTCTTCGGAAAGTAATTTTTGATGTAAATTTATATCTTTTGCTACTTGTGCCCGTGCATATGAAACTTGGAAAACAATGCCAGTGAATAATAAGGACGCTCACTTGTAAACACAAAATCTGGGGGGAAAATTGGTTATGTTTGAGTCCCTATTTAAAAGCCTTCCCTGTTTTCAATGTTCTTGAAACTTGCAGGGAATATTTCTTGACGACTGATCTCGGGATTGTCGAATTTATAAAAAAATTTATCGAGCGGTTTTTGGAAAAATGCGAAATTTTTAGGCATGGACCAAATTACCTCCAAAAACTGTATCAAAAGCAGCTGAATGCAAGTTAATAAAATTCTTCTTACTCGCGATCGCCCAGAGCAATTCCCCTCTTTTTTTGTATGCAGTTTTCAATGGAATCAAACCACTATGAGATGAAGCCGCGTTCCCAAAGCTTATCATTTTCTTAAAATATTAGCGAATTGAGCGGCTAGCATGCTATTTCACTGCTTTGATGATTCTTAAAACTGCATTTCGAAATATCTCGAAAACGCTCTCATAGAATTTCTTCAAACTTTGCCATAATGGAGGCAATTATGGCAGGTACATACTCCCTTAAGCGATTTCTTCAAAAAACTCCTGGTACAGGGAAACACAACAATAAATGAAAAACGTAATGGCGTCATTACGTTGCCATGGCGACTCCGATTGCAATAAAACCCAGATCATAAGAAATTTTCATCTTTATATAATACAGTTGTGGTAACCTTTTTTCCATATCTTTACTCATGCCGAAGTAGTTAATGCTCAAACTTGGGAGGTATCAACCCCAAAAAATCCAGTCGAGCCACCTTAATGGAATTAATGCTCAGAATGCAATCTGATCACACGCATTTGGACCTTCTTTGATCATGCGCCTTTTGACCCTCTATTATGTAGAAACTTATGCAAACCACAGCATAATAATTGGAGCAAGAACACTTTGACCTTTGATTGGTTTTACCTGCACTCTGAAACCTTTGATTATTGCTAGTGCTATCTTATTTTGCTTCTGTAGATACAATCACAGGCAAGAAAAAAATATATGTTTTACAATTTTATTATTTGATACATGTATGTACAGTCGACTCTCTCTTAATGGACGCCTCTATAAGATGGACATGTCTGTAAACTGGCCATGGGCACCACAGTTGATCCCTGCCTTTCTTTAATTACTCCCTTTATTTGAGTCTCTGTAAGATGGACACCTAAAGTTGGTCCTGGCCTTTCTTCATTCCCTTTATTTGACTTTCTATAAGACGGATACCTCCATAAAATGGACACCTAGAGTTGGTCCCTGCCTTTCTTTATTCCCTTTATTTGACTCTCTATAAGACGGACACCTCTTTAAAATGGACACCTAGAGTTGGTCCCTGCCTTTCTTTATTCCCTTTATTTGACTCTCTATAAGACGGACACCTCTGTAAAATGGACACCTAGAGTTGGTCCCTGCCTTTCTTTATTCCCTTTATTTGACTCTCTATAAGACGGACACCTCTTTAAAATGGACACCTTGAGTTGGTCCCTGCCTTTCTTTATTCCCTTTATTTGACTCTGTATAAGATGGACACCTCTGTAAAATGGACATCTAGAATTGTTCCCCGCCTTTCTTTATTCCCTTTATTTGACTCTCTCTAAGACAGACACCTCTATAGGATGGACACTTAGTGCCGGTCCCAAAGTTGTCCGTCTTATAAAGAGTTGACCATATTATTTCCCCTATCTTTCAGGTTTGTGTATGATGAGAGAAAGTGCAGACTTTATTATTACAGAACTCCTCAGGATTTTACACCACTGGGGTGAGATTTGGAGCACATCGCTGTTTTCTAAGACAATTGAATAGCACCTATTTACTCTAAACTTGGTACTGAAATCCAGAGTACCCAGCATATGTATGAAAAAAATAAGATATTCCAGTAACCCAGGAACTAAAGCTAGGCACCAGGGGCCAATGGGCACTATGGTAGTTTTAAAAACCTAAATTAATGACCGATCCCTCAGAGAACTAGTTTTCCTTGGAACCATTATTATATATTATTATTGACTTACTATAAATTGATTAACTTGCATGTTGTTATTGAACTCATCGCCAGTAGATGAGCTTGGGAACTGCAGTGTCTTAAAAGTTAGTGGAGTAGGGTCTAAAATAACCATAGCAGGGAGGTATCCATAGCAACCCCACAAGCAGGAACCACTTAACTACAGCAGCCACTAACAGGCACTGGTCTTCACACTGGAAGCTGATCCAGTGGAAAAAGACTTAACTTTCTACACAGACAGACCAGCCTTGGGGAAATGGGAGGGTAAGGCCAAAGGAATCAGCAAAAATTGGCAGAAGGTGACGTAGAATGGATCCGTAATGATCTGGAACAAAAGCAAAACTGAGGCAATAATGGCTGGACAGTAAAAAGCCCTGCAATATTAAGGGGTGCCACTGCAGGATGTGTGCTTGAGATAGTAAAGCTGCTGGTTGCATTGGCTCATGTTTAAGCTTTCCCAAAATAAATTTAGCCTCATTAAAATAATATGCACTGTTTATTTATCTCCAGACTCATTGATTTGGCTAAAGCATCATTCTCATTTGAAGTTGAAGATGCCAGTAGGTTGACACAGTTCCAGATTTGGTATGTAGATTTTCTTTGGTTTTGATTATTTAAAATTACATTCTTTAACTAAAAGTGGTATCAGTGTCTGATAGCCCGAGGCTAGTGAACTATTGGGCTAATGAATTCTGTTCCTAAATTGCCAGGTGAGCAAGTGAAGTCTTTTGGGGGAAATTCAACTTACAGAAGAACTGTAATCAATCCTGCTTGTATTTTTTTTTTCTTTTTACGGGCTGGTGAAAAAGTCTTTCTAGCTATAAGTAAATGCTAGCTACAGCATGCCCGAAGGAAGAGCGGTTGTACATGTAACAATGACTTTTTTTTTGCATCCTGGGATATTCAGATTTGTGTACCAAGGTATTTGTGTATGAACCAACTCATGAGTTTTTTAAAACTTGGTAAAATTTGGTAAAGACATTGAACAACAGTGACAATAGCATCCTCAAATTTTGAGTCAGCTGACTTGGGTGGCAGAATGGCAAATTGAGCACTAAAAATCAGGTTCTATCCTTTCTGGGGATTGCCGTTTCATGTTCTTATTTGACACTGTGATGTCTTTGGTTATCTGCCTACTATGCACACTGTGTCCTTTTTCTGTGGATGGTAAATTGATAATTTGGTTGTTCCTTCTACTCAGTGTAAATTGTTTGTTTGTTTGTTTACCTTGTCAGTACGTCTGGAAGGACATATCAACTGCAAGCCAAAGATAAACAAACAATGATGTTTTGGCTTCAGGAACTTCANTTTGGCTAAAGCATCATTCTCATTTGAAGTTGAAGATGCCAGTAGGTTGACACAGTTCCAGATTTGGTATGTAGATTTTCTTTGGTTTTGATTATTTAAAATTACATTCTTTAACTAAAAGTGGTATCAGTGTCTGATAGCCCGAGGCTAGTGAACTATTGGGCTAATGAATTCTGTTCCTAAATTGCCAGGTGAGCAAGTGAAGTCTTTTGGGGGAAATTCAACTTACAGAAGAACTGTAATCAATCCTGCTTGTATTTTTTTTTTCTTTTTACGGGCTGGTGAAAAAGTCTTTCTAGCTATAAGTAAATGCTAGCTACAGCATGCCCGAAGGAAGAGCGGTTGTACATGTAACAATGACTTTTTTTTTGCATCCTGGGATATTCAGATTTGTGTACCAAGGTATTTGTGTATGAACCAACTCATGAGTTTTTTAAAACTTGGTAAAATTTGGTAAAGACATTGAACAACAGTGACAATAGCATCCTCAAATTTTGAGTCAGCTGACTTGGGTGGCAGAATGGCAAATTGAGCACTAAAAATCAGGTTCTATCCTTTCTGGGGATTGCCGTTTCATGTTCTTATTTGACACTGTGATGTCTTTGGTTATCTGCCTACTATGCACACTGTGTCCTTTTTCTGTGGATGGTAAATTGATAATTTGGTTGTTCCTTCTACTCAGTGTAAATTGTTTGTTTGTGTGTCTACCTTGTCAGTACGTCTGGAAGGACATATCAACTGCAAGCCAAAGATTCACAAACAATGATGTTTTGGCTTCAGGAACTTCAAGTAATGGTTTTAACACTTTTTTTTTTCTCTTCTTTCTCTTTTTTGTCACAAGTGGTAGAAAAGACGTGGGGATCCGCACGGGCGGATACACGCGGTTTAGGGGTGAATGGGTTAAAAGTAAACAATTTTTCGACTGCTAAGCCACTTTGTTATATTAAGGTTCAGTTATCCACTGAAGGGGAGTTTATCTATTTGTTATTTTATTTGTTTTTCTTTTTCCTTAATCTGTCGTGGGGACAACTACATTCAAGTAGCTCCTGTAAGCTATTTGCTAACAGACGCAACAACTCCCAACATTGTTCGCCCTAGAATGTTGGGAGTTGTTGTGTCTGTGTTGGCAGTGGTGTGCAAACGGATTCAAGTGCATTATGGGAAGGATAAAACGTGTGTATGGCCCCAACAATAAGATTGAGGTTTGGTCATTTTACTACAAACGACAAACTGCGGTTTGTGGTTAACGTTTTCACGTTACCCGTTTGCCCATATTTGGGACTTGAGATTCGCGGGTGGCAGCTTGCGGCTGCCTTGTTTGTTTTTATTGATCTACTTACTTCTATTTTAGCTGAGAAATTGTCTTCAAAGTCACGTTTTTCTGAAAAAGAATTCGATGATCAATAAGCAAAACAGTTCTAAAAAGTCGTATCTCTTCTCAAACGTGGGATTGTGATGTTTTAGGGTGCAAAAAATCTTGTGGTAAATCAATTACCTCTGGAGCGTGGTCTAGCCGTACAAACGTGAACCTTAAACTGCGAACCTGAAGGCAAGGCCCTGGTGACGTGACTTCTTGACGTTCGCGGTTTGCAGGAAATGTCGAAAAACCTCAATCTTAAGGTCTCTAATGTTGAAAGAGCTGTGCAAACGGATCCAACATTGTTGCGCTATGCTTCGGTGATCAAGGAAAAAAAAAGTGGTGGGAGTTGTTGGCTTAAAAGTTTGACCGGTTTCAAACTTAGTGCAACAACTCGCAACAACATGCAACAGGGTACAATGATGGGAGTTGTTTGCCAACGATGATGTGTCAGTTTGCACAGGGCTTAACAATTCACTTTCAGATATTATTTTTGTCAATGTTTGTTTTTAGGCAAAACGAAGAGAATTCAGCCGAAAGAGGGCAAACAATGTTGTTCAAAATAAAGGAGACATAGCGGCTTTAGGGGTAAGTTCATCATTGTAAAGAATATATAAATGTTTAATATTGAACAACTAAAAAAATAGAACCAGTCCTTACTGAACATTGGCGTAAATAGTCTGCCCATTCAGTGAGTCACAAGTTTGAAGTTTTCAGAAGGTAAACTTTTAATAATTTTTTTTTTGAGTAAGGGATTTGAAGATGAAAATCTTTGTGGGCATCAAAATGCCTGGAATTAGTTAGCTTGCGAATTCAGCCTTNTTTCAAACTTAGTGCAACAACTCGCAACAACATGCAACAGGGTACAATGATGGGAGTTGTTTGCCAACGATGATGTGTCAGTTTGCACAGGGCTTAACAATTCACTTTCAGATATTATTTTTGTCAATGTTTGTTTTTAGGCAAAACGAAGAGAATTCAGCCGAAAGAGGGCAAACAATGTTGTTCAAAATAAAGGAGACATAGCGGCTTTAGGGGTAAGTTCATCATTGTAAAGAATATATAAATGTTTAATATTGAACAACTAAAAAAATAGAACCAGTCCTTACTGAACATTGGCGTAAATAGTCTGCCCATTCAGTGAGTCACAAGTTTGAAGTTTTCAGAAGGTAAACTTTTAATAATTTTTTTTTTGAGTAAGGGATTTGAAGATGAAAATCTTTGTGGGCATCAAAATGCCTGGAATTAGTTAGCTTGCGAATTCAGCCTTCTCTCCTTGCTCCTCGTGGCGCGAGACAAATTACGGTAGCAAAACGTTCCTAGCAGGTAGAGGCGAGAAGGGAAGGCTGTATTTGCAGGCAAGAAGTTATTTTTCAAGAAGTTATTTTTTGTCAACTCATTGTCATGTACAGAAGAACAGCTCAGAATTGTAACCTTCAGTTGTTTAGATTTTTTTGGACAGCCGTGTATTTTTAGCTGTTTTTAATGAATTAATCTAATGACTGATTTATTTTAAGCAATCAACATGTGGTCTATTAGCTGAAGAGGAGGAAACAATGGATGAAAAGAACGTAGGTATGTAATGTTCATTTCTAACCTTTTCCATCATTGACTCTCATATGGCTCTTTAGTCTTATATTTTGCGGAAGTTCAATTTTGGAAATTGTTGATATAGAGTGTTTTCACATGACGTCACGGCGGCAATATTGGTGTCCCAAAACAATGAAACGGCGGCCATGTTGGTTTCCCAAACCAATCCTGTGGGAGTTGAACTCTTTTCTTATGCAAACGCTTTCTTTTGTTCCAATAAATTTGCATAGATGCTGGCCACGTGAGTGAAAACGCTCTTTGTGTCTAGCATCTCGTCCAAAAGGGAGAAGCAATACTTATAGGTCAGGGCTGTCACTAAAGGTGAAGACTGGGGATATTTCCTGGCCTGTTACAAGCATAACCCCCACAGGGCATACAGTGTACCCACATATACGTACGCCGCTACGCACGTTCATATGTGAAGAAATGTTCAAGATAAATAAAAAGAAAATCAAAGCAAAGAAATAGAAAGTAAAAACAGGGCTGCAAATAACAGTCGGTCATCGGACATTGGCCGACCAAAATTTGCTGGTGTCCGACGAAATCCTACCTGTTTTCGGACATTATGTCCGAATTTTTTTTTTTTAATCATAAGTTTTTACGGTAAAGAAGAATAAAAACGTACCTAAATATAAAGCATATAAAGTTCAATGTGCTTTTTGTTATGTCTGACCAAAATTTTGTTCTGTCCGACTAAGATGGTGTCTTAGTAGGACATATGTCTTTCAAGAGAAAAAATATTATTTCCAGCCCTGTAAAAAGCTAAAAATGGTGCACTTGAATTACCTACGTAACTCCGCTTTAGCGTATTTCAGAATTCTTTTCAAGCAAAATTCCGCGGTATTTTCCTCCCATTTCGTTTCCAAACGCGATAGCGGTATTTTGCGGCTTGAAGAGCATGCTCTTAAGGCCAAGAGAGATTACCACACCATATCAGTAAAAATGGAATCTTAATTGTTCACTCGCACGAGAATGATTTGAGAGATGGGGTAGGGTTGATGTGTGCCTACCTCGGGAAATTTTCTGGCTATGCCTCTGCCCCAGTTCACACTTCACTGGATAACTTTTCGTGGCTTTAGTGCCGCCGCAAAAGACCTATCCGGTAAAGTACCAACTCCTTTCCGATATGACTCTCCACTTTTAAAAGAGATTGGCGAGAAACAGCTTCGCTCCGTTACAGAAATCGCGTCGAAATGACCGTTGTTGTATGTGAACAGTAAGCTCTATCCGGAATGGTTTTCGTGCGGACGCAAAAGTGAGAACATAGCCTTAATGAAAGTCCCTGTGTGTGCTTCATGCCACTGGGCTTGGGCCACTGAACAGTTTCTTATTGGTCTTTGATTTAAATGTGGTTCTGAATAAAAGGTGTGATGTGAGAGACGTTCATCTGCTTTCTAGCCTGCGGGGTCGGCATTCAAAGGCCAAGGAGAAGGTGAAGGAATTCGAGCACGTGAATTTCTCAATCACCCAACCCACCAACCCCCACCTCACCCCACCCCCCTCCCCCCTGCCATTGCCTCTCCACTTCCAACAGTATCATCATCATCATCATCATCAATCTTTATTTATACACGAAATCGTATCACTTTTGCATGGTCTTCCTAGGAATCGTGTGTAAAATTAGACTAAAATACTCTAAGGAACTACTTGATTATAAAGTTAAAAATACAAACACTTATATTATAATAAGAGTTACAATGAGTCATCTTCCACGCAGGCTACTGGTTTACATATAAAACTCTTTTTTATAAATAAGCTGCAGTATAAAATATTTACGCCTCTTCCAATTCAATCCAAAATGATCATTCTGTTTTCTTGTAATATTCTCAGACGTGCCTACAGTGCCAATTATAGATCCTGTACCAGCCCCGCAGTTTGTTGGAGAAGACGCCGCGGCCATGAAGTCGCCATCACAGAGCATTCTCTCCAACTTTTCATTCACAAACCTGAAGACTGAAATAAAGAATATAAGGTAAGGGAAGTGCTGCAAACACGTTTACAACGAAGATTCAACTTGGAGGGATGGATAGGGGACTAGGGCTGTAAAAGACACCACCCATCTGATACCTAGGCCTGATGAACACACAATTTTCGGAGTGACTGGGAACTTAAGCAATAACGACGGCGACGTTTACGAAAACGTCGCTTAAACAGTGAAGTCGCGCTGCCTAAAACTATATCTCGCTTATTCCATCTCGTTTAATTCGTCAAGTGGTGACAAACTGTACCAAAGCATGTTAATCTTGCACTTCAAGTTTTTTAGCCAGTATTGAGAAGGGGCTACGCATTTGTCTTTAGTGGGGAGAATATTGAACAATTATTCCTCTCGCCCTCATGGCCTCTGAGTCAATAGCCCATTAGGCCGACGGCCGAATGAGCTATTGACTCAGAGGCCATAAGGGCGAGAGGAATAATTGTTTTAGCAAAATCCAACTAGTTGGTCAAAAATATCGAGACAAAACAACTTTAGCTAGCAAAACGTGATTCAGCCGCCACTGTTTTGGTTTTCAAAGCCGGCGCTTTTCGCTCCTAGTGGGCTATAACATATAGCCTAGTAGTAGCTCAACCAATCAGAACGCAACATTGATAATAGACCACTAGTTGGATTTTACTAATTCCAGTTACTTGGCTAGGCTCAATTACCAGCCGCTGTTCGGGAAACGAGCCCGCGTTCCTTACTTTTTGAATTTCATCACAGACACATTCGGTCATACACGCGTCAGCCCTCTCCTCTCAGATCTGAGAGAGTGGCGGAAACCGAACCTATTACTTGTATCATGGTGCCATTATGAGTTCCCACCTCTCACTCGTCCCCAGTCGCCTCTCATTATTAGTATTTGGCGTGGAAGACTAGAACGGTTAAATAATTAATGAGTAGGGACCACTTAGAGACGACTGGGGACGAGTCAGCCTCCTCTCGCCTTCCCATCTTCCCCGCGCGCATAACCCAAGCGCTTCCCTAGTAAATAATTGATGAGTAGAGACAACTTAGAGACGAGTGGGGACGAGTCAGTTCCCGCCTGGCTGCTAGTATTATCATTATTGATGAGTTTGAGATGCCACGACGTAGTGACAAAGGCGAAGGCGACGGCGGTGAAAACGTCGTATGAAAGGGACTTCGCGTTCTTTGAAACTTCAGACGGTTATTTCAAGTCGCTCACTTTGTCAAATGTAAGCGAACTCTCCTGGAGTTGAAGTCCAAAGAACAATATTCAAGTTCAAAAAGAGTAAAAGATATTCGTCGTCGTTAGTTAACGTTCTTGATGAAGCGTGAAATTGAACAATTTCACGTCGTAATTGTGCAGTGACGGCAAAAAAGCCTACTAAAAAGTGTGCTGCGTTTGCAAATTTGTTGTTGTTGTTTTTTTCTAATCTAATCAAATTGCTCTTTGACGTTCTCGTTGCCATTGCCTTTGTAATATATTAAGTTCCCTACTTCTTTCCCTCATCATTTTTTTTATAACTATTAATTGAATCATGTATTATCTTTGTATTGTTTTTTGTGTGGCGATAAACAAATAAATTTTAAATCATCTCTCAGTGCCAAAAGATCGTCAGTGGTTTTGTCACAGCAGTCACCGCCGGTCAACATATCTGCGCCTTTATCAGGAAGTGAAATGATGGAACACCTAATGCTCGAAGAAACCGCAAAAGCATCCAGGACACAGTCTGTGGCTGAAGAACAAATCGATGAAGATGAGAGCAAGAGGTAAGAACTACATATTTTGTTTATAAAGAAGCTGTGTAGCTAAATCAAGTCGCTGGCAGCTGGCCACCGAGCTTAATGTCGCCCCATCTTCATCTTGAATTTCGGATTTTACGCTGTGGATTCTGGATTCCAGATACTGGATTCCAGTCTTTGTCAGTGGACCTTGGAACTCTGGGTTCCAATTTTTAGTGGGATTCCGGATTCCAAAGCCCAGGATTCCGTATTACATAAGGCAAATTTGCTCGGATTCGGGATTTCACAAGAAAAAAAATTTCTCGAAGGAGCTCATGTGTAGCCAAACGATCCACTTGCAGCTGGCCACCTGACTGAGCTTGGAGTGAAAAAATAAAACAACCGATTAAAACAGTAAGGGAAGATTTAGATTTAGATTGCGGGGTGCGGACAAATTTTTGAAGGGACAAAACCTTGCATGGATTTGACCTTATCAGAAGTACAAGTGTAGATCAAAATTTTTGACTTGTACGGTTCGATTTTTACGGAGACTCTGTAAACACCTGATACGTGCAAATTATTTGACATTTTACGCGGTAAAAGCCTCGTGACTAGTGACGCACCATTGATAAATAAAAAAAAAGCCATTTTAATGCTGACACCAACAAAAAAAAAATTGTACGGACTCTTGTATACAGTACACGGTAGCAGAATTGCCACGGTTTTGTGCTAAAAATTCGTCCGATCAAAAATTGGTCAGGATCCAAGAGAAACATGTATATAAGATGGCACAGATAAACAAAC